AAAATCCTCCCCTTTGAAAGATTGGATCTCATTCTGTCTTCACCTCTTCGTCTTTGTGCAATCACAGTCCATACACGCCGTCATAAGATGATCTATCGGCGGCTTAATCAACATATTCATCCGCCTTTGGCATGCAGATCATACCACAGTAAAACACAGCGCTAGTGGTTAATCCTGCCTTGTTATCTTTCTCCCACTAGCCGCCTATCTGCTTTCTACAGCCTCGGGAAAGCACTTTCTTCATCGCGCATGATAGCCACCTATCTTACCCACTCGTCGTGTGTGCGCTTTCAGTGACCAATGATGCAGATATGTGGGTGAAATCATGAGCGTATGACATCAGCTAATTCCTGTGTATAGTGTGTTTAGGGTTACAAGAGTGTATAGCATGCTTCTATTTGCAGTAGCCAACGACTACTATCATTTTGTTGCATTTTCCTTTCCTTACTGTATCTGATCATCAGTTCTACTGAATGTGAATGTACGTAGTAATATCAAGAGTCTTTCCAAGAGGACTGAATGAACCCTAACTCCAATGTCCTTCCGTAATGAGCCACTACACATGTGTTATGTGTTTGTGTATGATGACATAAATCACTAGATAGCAGTTGGAGAACCCAAGCCCGGATGCATTCACTGCTCCCTCGGATGGATCCATTTCCAAAGTTTGGAAGTCGTTCTTCTTCAGAGTATTCACAAGCTTTAGTTCTAATGTGAAACAAAAATGGACGCTAAAAAGCAGATGTTGTGTAGTTTGTGCTGGAGAGGACGTCTTAACAGGAATGTTAACCCTCGCGCCTCTTCCTCTGTTATTCCCAACAACGACGCGGACATTCTCATCCTAAATCAAGTCTCGCCCATTTTAGAGACATTTCATATTCGCTTCCAAATAAATGATATCTCTGGCCTAGCTACGCCACAAGGTTTAAAAACGGACTTCGAAAACATTACTTACTTAGGCGAAGGTTTAGTGGAATTATCGCCTTTGGTTTTCAGCAAGTTTTTGGGTTTCAGTCCAAATGTCATCCTGAATAGATGTATTTTTGTGAAAATGTCGTGTCTGCAAATGTTGTTGGCATATGAAAGATTGATTAATGGCAAACATCATACTTTGTCAACCATTCCAGTGCCTTGACCTTGGACCAACCAAAAGTTCCTAGAGCTCTTGCGTTCATATATACATAATAATAATGCGAAAAAAAATAAATATGCATTTATGTTCGCCTCCTGGACTAGGGGTCACAAAGGGAAGTAACAACATATCAAATAACCGGGAGAGAGAACAAAGGGAGGAAACTGGTTTCTGAAGCCAACAAGGGTGATGCTTTAATTACTCAAAAAGGTAAAGAGGGCTCACCAGCCAATTTGCAAAGTAAACTAATGATAAACAAAAAACAACTTTCCTATTAAAGAAAGTGACTAAAGTACACTGGAGCACATCTCCTAACTTAATAAAGTTATAAAACACAGGTTAAACTAGCAGGCCTCACACAGAGACAGAGACACCACACATGCAGCCCAGAGGAGAAGGGGGAGAGGGAGACTGCAGCCTTCCTCAGGTCCTTTGTGGACGCCCGGATTGGGAGCACCTGAGGGGGAGGCTGCACCTGGAGGGAGACAATCAGGGGGAGAGACACACAAACAAACCACGGCACGTAACAATGCACATCAAATGGGTTGGATCCATGCTAACCCTTTGGTTTTTGCTTATGATGCTTAATGACGTGAAACTCCTTCTATAACTACTGTACCTTTGCTTTAAATCTCACATTGCTTCTGTTCTTTTGTCATATTTCTGCTGCTTCGTGTTATCCTTCAAACACGGAATAATCTGATCAAAACCTTTGAATATGCATATGAGTCACATCAGTGACAAGAGAGGTCAAAAGAGTGAATATAGAATCAGTGCCCACAGTACTGATCTACTGATATCACAGAATAATGTTTAGCATTCAAGAGAGTGATGCCGGGTGAACTCTAAATGACACATTTCCATATAAATGAATGCTCAGCTTGAAAGTCAGCCCGTAGTGATTCACTGAGATGAATGTTAGACTGTATACACATTCTCCACTCAATGGAAATTAGTATAACCTCTCAGCGGTGTAGCGTACATGTGGAGGCGCTTTGCTGTGACCTCGGCATCCTATACATTTCAGGAGTAATAAGCTTTGAATGTCAATGTGCTCTTTAGATGTAGAGAGCTCTGGCATTTAAATGTTGTGTGTATTTACACAAATCAGATTATGAAAGTATCTTCAGGGTAAATTAATATGATATTAAATAGTCAAAGCGAAACACATGCTACACAAACTGTGATAAATAGAATGTGTTGTTTGTGTCCGAAGCAGCTTTGGAGCAGCTCAGTCTAACTGGCTAGCAAACGCAACCAATATTGACTGCTAGCCACTGTCAAGTCTGCTAGAGCCAATTGATGAATTTAGGAATTGAACTGACTTGTACATATTTCACTTTGGCCAAACAAATGGCCAGATAATAAAAAAAGGGCCATGAAACATCAAGTGCCACAATATTAAAGATAAAGATATCTACAAAGGCACTCTGCCAGGCCCTAAGTGGACAGAGCGTATATACCAATGGGTTCTTCTTTAGCCAATGATACACTCTTCAACCGAGTTGAGTGGAAATTGGGAGTAGTTTAACCACCACACTGCTGACAAATAGACAAACAAACAAACCCATCCAAACACAGGTCTAAAATACCACAATTGGGGGAATATAAGAACGAATGCAACTTTTAAACTGAGCTTCTACCTAAATTACAGAGATAATTAGAGATGCAAAAAAACTACATTTTTCATTGTAAGGAAGTTCAAATACATTTCTCATGATATGAGCCTGGTACTAATTCC